CTGAATAAGATTTATCACCATTTTGAAGGACATAAAATTATCTTCGGAATGATGTATGGATATTACTGCATAATCCACGTGGAGGTATCGGAAAATCCAACCAAAGTTGATTGTTCAAGTGCAAAATAAAAATTCAATTTTCGCCTAAAACTCCCATAAGTCAATGGGAAATGGTCCGAATTGGATAAATCAGGTGTCAATTTGAAGCTGACTTAATAAGCTTTCGAATGAGTTCACCACATATATATGTTTTGTAACAGACGAAGGAGAGAAATTAACATAAAAACTAAAGGAAATCTCTTGGTTACGGACAGGATTGTTCTATAGGGGATTAGTGAAGTGGTAAACCACAATAAGAGTCAGAGTCGTGATTTTACTGGAGAGCCAAAAAAAATGAAATCTCCGGTTTCGGTCGTAATTTTTTCGAATCGATTGACGATTTCTCATTGCTTATATGACAGTTTATTGTACACACAGCTCCAACCCCTGCGCTCTATGCTAACCCCACGGTAACAGACGGGGAATTCCACAAGTCCCCCCAAAAAGGATAGACTAAAGTAGAGGGTCAGATCTCGGTGTTCAGGCAATCCCAAGCTACGATTAATATCTCTCCAATAGAGGGATGGCGCCACGGTCGATTTTGGTTTCTGAACATGCTGGCTGTGCCGGTAACACGTCAGTAACCGCCCCGCTGTTACCAGCTGTCACAGGGGTAGATTTGGAGGAGAATTTTGTTTCTCTTCATCCTTCATGTTTTTTAAGTTGTTTAGCTGTTGATAATTATAATTAAATGGAACTTACCATGTACAATGGAATTATTATTGTTTTCAATAATAATTCCATTGTACATGAATCATCAATTCTAAGAAAATTAGAATTTAGAGAGAAAAAATTTCCGCTTCACCCAGCCGGGAATCGAACCCGGGTCTCCCAGATACGCGCCGGGCACTCTTACCAACTAAGCTACCGGGAACCACAGAAATTCACTCTCAAATTCACCTCAAACACCGCCTAACCTCCTTTAGGCATTAAAGAATTCTAAGAGAATTAGAATTTAGAGAGAAAAACTTTCCGCTTCACCCAGCCGGGAATCGAACCCGGGTCTCCCAGATACGCGCCGGGCACTCTTACCGACTAAGCTACCGGGAACCACAGAAATTCACTCTCAAATTCACCTCAAACACCGCCTAACCTCCTTTAGGCATTAAAGAATTCTAAGAGCCTAAATGTCCATTAGGGATTTTTTAAGAATACGGATGCAAGGGTCGAGATAAAATATAGAATATGAATCACGTATCCTTTTTGTGTAATGTTTATCGTAAGTAAAATATTTTAAAAAATGGCGTTCAAGAATAGGGACACAGACAAAAGGAGATATACAAAGTGGTATAAATGGACTCTCGAATAAAATTCCAAGGAATAAATTAAATTCATTGGGATTTTTTTATCCATGTTTCATTTTTTATTTTTTATTTTTCTCTCCCCTACTCGATTAAGAGAGAATATAGAATTACCGAGTTTAACAATAATTACAATTATTGGGGAACAGGGCAAATGGCAATGTTTTTTAATGAAGCTCTATTGCCTTTAATGAATATCTAGCAAAAGAAGCGTTTTATGAATAATGTAAAAAGCTGGTGCATAGCATGCATCTCCAACCTGTCATGCTGGAGTAGTCGATTCGATCCCCCGTCATTAGAGAATATATATTTTTTTTAAATTTTTTTTATTTCCAGAAAATTTCTAGAATTATTGAAAATTTTGGGAAAATTCAAGGCATGTCCACAAATTTCAAAAAAATTTGTGACGAATTTGACAAAAATCAATTTCTAACAATAGCAAATGTTTTCAAATTTAGTCTCAACTAACCCCAAACATAAGTACCCAACGTGAAACTTACCGTAGGCGCTAGCCTCTTCTTATTTTATCGTAATTGGGAGAATAGGCAAATGCCAACTTTGCTCCAAAACCATAAATCTGCGACTCAATGAAAATTACAACCCGGACTGTTAACGACAAGGGGGAGAAGGGACGATACCTCCTATCGGATTTTCGGAGGCCCAAGAAATGAAAATACAGCTGAACTGTATCTCCTAAAGAACATTAATATATTCAAATATGACCGATAGGATTGGACATGAAATATCCAATCGGTTGTTTCCAACCTGATCATAGTGTTCGTATATTAAATACTAGCGCATTATTGCCAATTTTATTTAATCTATTATATTCCTCTAAATCCTCGAAACCTGTTACGCAATCCAAACGCAAGTCATATTGTAATAATTCGTGTATCGACATTTCATTTCACATGAGTACATTCTTTCTCAAAATCCTTCAGCTGCCGAACTTTTTCCATTAGAGTACATTTTGTCATAAGGCCGTGAAGCGCAGTTTAACAAGTGAGTGCGCCAAACCACGCGAGTCTGAGACCGCGCGTAACAGCCAAATGATAATTACTATTTTTTGTCACAGATGTATTAGGTGTACAAATAAGTTTTAGGACACTTTGCAAAAAATTTAAAATTCATTTGCGAAAAAAAGTAAACTACATTTATACATCAAAATAATCTCCATCATTTTGAATGACCTTCAGCCATCTGTTAGGTAATTTACGGATGCCTTCCGCAAAGAAAGTTTCATCTTGCGAGGCGAGGAAATTATCGACCCATTTTTGCACTTCTTCAAATGTTTTGAATCACACATCATAGACTGATGTCTATTCGATTTACATCTTCTGAAACAAGTGAAAATCAGTTGGAGCTAAGTCTGGTGAATACGCCGGGTGTACCATAACTTCCCATTCAAGAGCCATTAACGTATCTTTGACCGGTTTACCGGTTTTCCATGAGGCCTGGCGTTGTCATGGAAAAATTTTACTGGACGTTTTTCTTTGCCAGTAAATGGACGTTTTTGTTCAATTTCTTGGTTCAATCTTATTAACTGGTGACGATAGCGATTGTCAGTAACTGTCTGGCCAGACTTCAAAAGTTTATAATGCAGTACGCCTTTCATATCCCACCTTATACACAGCATGCTCTTCTTACAGTGAATATTGCGCTTCGGTGTCGATGTCGTCGGCTCGCCCTGATGAACCCAATGATATTTGCGTTTTGGATTATCAAATTAAATCCACTTTCCATCGCCGGTCATAATTTTCCACAAAAAAGACTTTCTATGTTGCTTATTGCAAAGATTTAGACATATGTCAAGTCGGCTATCTTTAATTTCGTGAATCAAAAAGTGTGGTACCCACTTTATTCCTTTTCGAATCTTTCCCATTGTGGTTAAGCGATAGGAAACGGTCTGTTAAGTTACTCCAAGCTGTTTTGCAAGTTGTTTTTCCGTCTGGTAAGTGTTCTCATCCAGCAACGCTCGCAGTTCCTGGTCATCCACCCTTATAGGGGCCCCGGTACGTTCACGGTATTAACGTCGAAATCACCTTCTTTAAATCGCTTATACCAATACTCACATATACTTTTAGATACAATGTTGTCCCCAAGAACAGAACAAATCGATTGACATGCTTTCCTAACAGTTATTGCCCGATCGAATTCATAGCGAATGCAGTGTCTGATAAATAGCTTTTCGCTCAGCATGTTTTATTCACAGAATTTAAGGTTATATTTATGGCTCCCTTATGTTTTGATACTGGATAAAAAACCCCACCACATCATATGTAGCAGTAACTTTGAATTACTTTCATGATACGGAATCGAAGTGTCCTACAACTTATTCGTACACCTAATATCAAAAGCGAAGTGTCACTCAGAGGGGCGGTGTTGGGGGGGGGGGTCCAGGGGGCGAAGCCTCCCCGTTGAAAAACAAAAAGGTGATCATCAGTGATCATAATATAATGAAATGAATTTTCACATAGCAAAATAAATTAATACAAAATAATGAAGTTTCGAAGAAAAGAAAATGAATTAATGATATTCAATAGATTTTTGAGAAATCAAAATTCACTAAGAGGCAATTTTTATAATTATCACTAAAAAGATTTGTTGTGAGAAAATAATATTTTTTCAACTTCCCGACCCGAAGGGAGGAAGGTATGACCCCGAAAATCGAATGTGGAGCTTCGAAGATTTCTCCACATTTCTCGGCCTCCGGAATTATCCTGATAAAATCTAGAAGACATGTGTGGTTTTTTTTATATATACATTTTTTGTACACTTCTTCCGTAGCACGGCGATGGTGTCATTCCACCAATACACTGGTGGATGTCGATTTGTGATCCGTTACCTCGTCATGATGGCATCACAGGCTTTGGCCACTCTTTCCATGATGCTGTGTGCTTTCTCAGTAGCGTCATTGCCACTGATCGGACGATCGTCTAATGCTACTGAACAAGAGCTAGGATTCAAAGTGCTCACTCTCCAGACAATGCAGTTGGTCTTTTTCGCCATTAATCGGATTATCCGATCAGTACAGGAATCCCAGAATGTAGCCAGGTGGTCACTTGCAGTGTAAATACCAGTTACTCTCCATGAGCACTTCCTCTTGTCAAGAGTACTGCTCACGATGGTGAGATCTACAATTGAGCTCGCCTCTCCCCTAATGAAGGTCTGTTCATTACCGCTGTTCAGCAGGACCACGTCCAACAATAACATGACTGGCTTCCAGTACAGCGCACCGTTTGCATGAGCAGATCGTGTGCGTCCTCGTACTAGTTGAGATTGAGCTGTAGTACCTTGCAGTTTCTTCGTTTATTATCGCCTTTTATTGGTGAGCTTTTGGAGCGCCTTTCTGTATGCTGGGCATCTACTGCTACCGGCAACGTGGGTATTCTCGTGGTCACAGCTTTCAACTCGGCCAGGTGGGACCGCATGATGAAAGCACTTGAGAAGTTCAATGCACCGGGATACTGACGGAGAATTGTCGACAGTTATTTCACTGAAAGAGTCCCGAAGTACGCTACGGATGATGGCCCCTAGGAATACAGAATCACCGAAGGAGTACCTCAGGGCTCAGCATTGGGTCCCGTGTTATATAACATCATGTACGACGGGCTGCCGAAATTGGCACTGCCATGGGAAACTAAACTCGTGGCATTTGCAGATGACGGAGCTGTAGTCATTGTGAGCAAATACTTGGAGATCAACTATACCTTCGACCTGACCTTCGAAACGATCCACCGTTGGATGGACTCAGTAGGTTTGAAGCAGAGCAGATGGAAGCCGTGCTGATCACTAGCAGGAAGAAAGTTGAGACAATCACGCTGCAAATTGGATTTTATGGAATTACTTCCCAGCCGTTCATCCGAAACCTGGGGGTGATGATCGATGCCCGACTCAACTTCAAGGAGCAAGCAGAACACGTAGGTACCAAGGCGTCAGGAGTCAAATCTACCTTGTCATGCCTCATGCTTAACATCGGAGGACCCAATCAAAGAAGACGAGTGCTGCTGTCTTCAGTAGTTACGTCCATGCTCACATATGGTATTCCTATTTTTAACCTGACGTACTCAAATTGCAAGAAACACGGCGTAGGATCGCACCAGTCTATCGGCTGAGTATGCTGAGAGTCGGGAGTGCATACCGGACAGTATCCGAGGACGCAGTGTGTTATCTGAGGAGTGTTATCGATATAGGTGCTAGCTGTAGAGCGAAGATCCCTGTACCAGCGGACGAAATCGGAACCACTGTGCGCCGAAGAACTGGCAACGGAGGAGAGGCGAAACCGCTTGAGCCGATGGCAGCAGAAATGGGCTGACTTGACCAAAGGGAGATGGACCCACCGTCTGGTCCCGAAGGTGGATGTCCGCTGAATCGCGACCATGGTGAACTTCATTATTATCTCACACAGAAGCTGTCGGCACGTCGGTGCTTCTGGGCCTATCTTCATAAATTCAACGACGCGGACGCGGAGCACGTGTTTTTACCGGAGGGACTGCACTCGGAAGGCGGGTCTTGCCTGGGAACGTGATGGAAGTTTTGCTATCATCGCAGGCAGCCTGGGACACAACGAGCAACTTCGCGGCCCACGTCATGAAGGAGCTCAGGAATGAGGAGCGCAAAGGCAAAACTGCAGAATGAATGCAAAACCTGTTGAAACCTCCTACCCTCACACATCTTAGTAGGACAGGGGGACGTACAATAGGCGTAAACAACGAGGAAGAGCATAATAGCTGAGACCTGCTTCGCGAAGTAATAGTTAACAGTGGTGTCGCGAGGGAAAATGGGGTTGACGAATTTTCCGAGGTCAAGTGGTTTAGATGTTGAGAGCTCCACACAGGATGTGACAGTAACCGGCATGTTACTATCCACTATCGTGCGGTTAGGTAGATTTGCCCCAAGACCTCGGAAGGAAAAGAAAAACACACACAAATGCACACATTCATACCACGGATCCTCTCAGCAAGGAACGCCTTTACTTTCTGAGAGTTCTGGCAGGCTGGAAGGTACTGCAACGTGGCGCGTATCCAGATGGTGGATAGGAGAAAGTCCTCCCTGTTCTGAAATATCTTTCAGAATATAGGGTATCGACTAAATAAAATAGATGGACGCGAACCAATACCTTCTTAGTGAAGTCCAACTCTATCAAAAAAAGAGGTGTGAACGGAGGGCTCTCTATAATACCTCCCAAAAAATTATCCCATGCGGGCAACCCTCAAAAGGAAAATCCCACCACTGGTTCCGATCGGGGATAGCCCCGGTGGCCGGTGCTGTCTCAATGGATTGTGGGAAGAGCCAACCATCACATGTCTCAAATGTGGACTTCTTGACCTCAGATGCTACAAGAAGAGCAGAGTTGCAGACTCATCAGCAAAGAAGTATGCCGTCACGCTCGGGAACGATTTGAAAAAATCATTAGAGTTACACGAGTTTGTTCAGCCGAAGATTAATGTCCACAAGGAGATCAAATCTAAAGTAGCATCTATCGGCAGTACATTTAAGCGACTTAGGAGCGACTTAGAGGAGGCACGCAGCAAGGCCCCGGTCGCCATTGCTGAGCCCGTACAGACTCTATTGCTACCTCGCACGTCGCGTCCACGATCGGACTCAGAAACGATGGTCAAAGACTCGGCGGTAGAGAATGCGAGTACCACGTAGTCAACTTGCGATCTAGAGATGAGAGAAGTGCAGAGAAAGCACTCAAAAGGCTCATCTGTAGCAGAAGCTCAATAGCTGAAGAAGCTGAAGCAACAGAATCTGACCAGTAAGATGGGCCCGCAGGGGAAGGGACTGGTTAATGGATCAGACTGAAAGCTTGCCGAGTCTAAGAGAAAGAAGAAAAAACAATGAGAAACGGCTCCAAAAGTCACTTTCCGAGAAAAAAGAACCCAAGAACCTGAAGAAGACCAGTTGGAAACCAGCGCCCAGACCGGATGCCCTGATTGTCCGACACAAGGAAAAGGAGCAATACCTCTGATATTCTTTGCCGAATAAAGAAGGATTGTCCCTGCGGAGAAAACTCAAGATTGGGTCGATATAATCCGCCGGACAGCGATTGGGGATATGTTGATCATCCTGACGAGGAAGACAGTCGGTGGAGCTCCTCAGCTATGTAGAACCATCGCCGGTCTCCTTAAAGATAAAGCCGAGGTACTCAGTAAGGGGCACAGGTGGATCTGGAGATAAAGGACCTTGATTAGACCAAATCGAAGAAGGATGTCCTTGAGCCTCTACAAAAAGTGGCCGGGGAGGAGCTCAAAATGGCTGGTAAGGCTATCAAGCCTTTGCGTAAGGCATATGGAGGAACCCATACTGCCTCAGTGACACTCGCGGTAGCTGCTGCGAGGATCCTGGGAGAGCATGGTAAAATCAAAATAGGCTGGGTCAATTGCCGTATCAGGAAATTGGAGAGACCGATGAAGTGCTTCAAGTGCTGGCAATATGGACATCTCGCCACGAAATGCGCGAGTGGAGTCGACCAGTCCAAGGTCTGCATGAAGTGTGCAGGGGATGGTCACAAAGCCAAGGACTGCAAGGGAGAGACACGGTGTGTCCTGTTTACTGAGAATGGCATTCCAGAGAATTGCCGCGAGCATTAGGATCAGAATCAAGCTCAAACATTCTCCTTAGACATATTTTTGGAAGACGATGGTCTTCTATCTCAAGAATCTTGATAATATAATTCAGAGTCACTTTCCAGACCGCGTATTCCACTCTCAATAGTCCCGTCTCCAGCCTCAGAGCACAGCTGGGGGTATTCTTGGGGAGAAGCAGGAGTCTTTTAACAAAGCTCAGCTGAGCTGTTTTAAGATGATCTAGGTAATTCAAGGCCCAGGCAGGCGAAGCATAGAGGAGGGTCGTCTTGATAATGGCTTCGAACAGCCTGATCATACTTGACCAAGACTCACATTTACCGCGTGCCAAGATCGCAAAAACCGCACCACTTGCCTGCCTAGCTTTAATCACCGCCTCCTTGGCTGCTGAGAAGCCGAGTGTTGAGCTACTTACAGTGACGTGTAGGAGGAAACTAAGCCCAATTCACTACCGTTGTAAAAAAAACCTGAATTCTGGACTCACTCTTCCACCTTCCCTAAAAATCATGACCTTCGTCTTGTCTGAGTTTACAGAGAGACCCAGATCTGAACAGTAGGAATCCAGAGCAATTAATATCTTTTTCAAGACCAGTTCACTCTCAACAAGTATGACCAGGTCATCAGCATACAGCAGTAACAGACCGTCAGTGATACCGTTGATATTGACACCCCTAAAACCAAGCCCATGTAAATATTTCTCAAGGTCCTATAGTATAAAAGAGATGGGTCACTAATCGAACATGGCGGACCTCATGGGGATAATCGATTGTCGTCTGATATCTCATGGAAATAACCGATTACTCAGGGAATCGATATTAGTCATTCGATATTTGGTGGCGCTGACTAAAATTGTCGTCAAATTTTTACTTGTGGATCCGCCTTATGACAACCACACTACGCGCCAAACCCGTTCTCTAACTTTCTTTCCGGTTGCGGCTGCTGTAGCGTCCACACATGTGCTCTCAAAGTGATTTACGAACAAAGTGATAATTAAAAATCAAACCACATCCACAATGGCAGACTTCCCAACATTCACGTCGAATGAAAGATTTCACAACGCTCAACCGGGTGATAATACGTTGTGAGTATTTTTTCGATAATTTTGTGATTTATAATTAAAAAATCGGGGAGTTCAATAATCCAGTTGTGTAGGTTAGATTACCACGTGTGTCTGGTGGTTTCTTTTCTTTCGTTTCTTTATCATTCGGTTTGCCTCTGTTGTTCTTTTGTATTTTTTAATTTACTTTCAGATCCCTCATTGAAATTTTCATTTGTTTTTTTTAATAGATAAAATGATTAAATTCTAAAGTCATGTCCCATCGAAAAATCCTATAAGTGAAAAAAAACAGCCATGAAGTTGAAATGGTGCCATATACATTTGATTTAGTTGTCTTATTCCGCCGTTTAACGTAATTATTTTCTACAAAGTCTGTTGAAGTTTCTGAATAGTTAAGTTGTGTAGGTTAGGTTACCACGTGGCGTCTGGTGGTTGCTTTTCCTTCGTTTTTTTTTTAATTCAGTTTGCCTCTATTTTTCTTTTGGATTTTTTAATTTACTCTCAGATTTCTCATAGAAATTTTCGTTTTTGTTTTTTTTTCAGTAGGTAAAATAATTAAATTGTAAAAACATGTATCATCGAAAATTCTATCGGGAAAATTAAGTTATCATGGGATGGTAAAGCAGAACCTTACGGAACGTGCGGGAAATTCGAAAATATTCTCGGACTTTTTCTAGGATCTATTCGTCACTGCAACTGTTTCATCAATTTTCAAATTTTAATTTGAAATTGAAGTTTGAAGTTAATATTTGAGATTAAATCTGCNTTCAGTAGGTAAAATAATTAAATTGTAAAAACATGTATCATCGAAAATTCTATCGGGAAAATTAAGTTATCATGGGATGGTAAAGCAGAACCTTATGGAACGTGCGGGAAATTCGAAAATATTCTCGGACTTTTTCTAGGATCTATTCGTCACTGCAACTGTTTCATCAATTTTCAAATTTTAATTTGAAATTGAAGTTTGAAGTTAATATTTGAGATTAAATCTGCATTTCAACAGTGAATTTCAAATTTCAATTCCAAATTCCAAATTCCAATTTCATATTGGAATTGGAATTTGAAATTTCGATTTCGAGGTTCAATGTCAATTTTTAATGTCAAATTTTAAATCTTATTTTTGAACTTTAATTCCAATTGAAATTTGAGACTTAATTTCGTGATTCGAATTGGAAATTTTAATTTGAAATTGAAATTTGGAATTCCGATTTGCAATGTAAATTCAAACTTTTGACTTCGAATTCAAATTCTGAATTTGAATTTCAAATTAAATTTTGAGTCTTAATTTCAAATTCCTATTTAAAATTTTAATTTTGGATTCAAATTTTAATTT